AGTTTACATTCTTATCAACAGTATAACAGGCTTCCTCTAGCTCTCATTATTAGGGCTTGGTTTACTAGCCTTGAAGACGGCAGAGCATTACATTCACATATCAATGCTTCTCTAAATTAACTATGAGAATGTGACGATATTGCTTCAAATTGTGTAATTCCTTAACTATTAATGTTAGATTATAAACCTTTCTTGAATCCTGCTTTCTATAAAGGTCAAGATTATTAACCCAAGTAAACCTTGAATTCTCTCCAATAGTAAATGACAACCTTATAGGGCAAGAATAGAATATTTGGAAGTTCTGGACATGCCATCAAATAAAATGCTGATCAAGACAAGTTTCCTACTCCCTTACACCCTTAAAGTTGGAGCAAAACCTAGTCTACTTTTTAACCAATTTTTGGACAGATATTTAAATTCAGCATTTTAGACTCAATAGATGTCTTTTGTTATAAGATACTAATTCCAATATTGGTTTTTCAGGGTCAGTTGAGACTTCATTTTGTAGGTACTTGGGAAATTAATGTAAGGTTGCATAGCTTTGAAAAAATGTGTCATGACTTTTCTACAACCCAATATTTCATGGACTCACCTAAGGCTGGCGCCAGTAATTGTAGGAGGGTGCATATGTAAGAGGGGCTACTGAACTGTAACCATTGTAGATGCCATAGAACATTTATACTCAGACAGTTCATCCACTGCCTCCCCATGACATCATCATCATTTGACCTGAAGTATCATATTCCAGAAGCCACTTCCTTACTTATTACAACCTGTAAGAACATGTCCAACCAAGTGGCTATCAGAAAATGCTCATCTTTGGGCTTGTATTTCTGTCCAATGGGACATTTTTCCCAACCTTTTGCCCTGCAGTATGGTTTCCTCTGCCCCTGGGGAAAACATTGGTCATCACGTGTACTTCCTAGTCAGTGCACAAACCATGTTCTCGAACTCAAAACTCTAGTGTGAAAGCACCAAACAGAATGATTTATTTTTTAATTTATTTATTTTTTGCATTTTTGTCCTGATTTGCTAATGAAGCCTGTTGGACTCTTGTTGAAGTAATTACCCCACACATAAAAGAAGAGAAGCCAGCTGAGAGGAAGGAGGCCTGGAAACATTATTTGTGTCCATGGTACCTGATCTCCCCTCTCATTCTTGACTATATCCCTCTGTGCAATAGCCCTTATTTCTCATCTCTCTCCTGCTCAGACCACATCTATCTCCTTTTCACCTGAAGTATAAACTGGCAAAGCAGGAACCAGGGCTTCCCTGGTGGGCTAGAGGTTGAGTCTCAATGTTGTCACCACTGTGGCCTGAGACTGATCCCCGGTCAGGGGGTGACCCACATGGCACGGCAGACCTTTCCTGTCTCATCCACTGCTCCTCTCAGCAGTGAACTTCAGTAGAACCAGCTGTTCTGCTCCCATTCCCTCTCTGGGAAGTCCTCTCACCCCTACACTGGGCCTGCACCCCAGTTCTTCTACACACACACGCGCACACACACACACACATATCCACACAAAGCTAACAAAGCTGGAATCAAGGACAAGGCACTCAGGTCATTAATTTGTGATCATTGGTGGTATTCTTATTTATTTTGATATAACAATATGTAATGAATATACATAATTTTTAAATTACTGCAGCCTTTAACTTTTCGTACAGTATGAGATCATGAATACTCAATTAGGGAACGTGGTGTCCTTAGGCCACAGAGGGCAAAGCTTTGCTCCAGACTGAGAACTTGAATTAGAAATGTGCTGATATCCTCTCCAGAGAGAAAGAAGTATGAATAACTGGAGACTCTGCTTGCTTCCTTGGTCTTAAAAACATTTCCCCAAGACCCTCGGGGTAACCATTAGTAAATTACCGTGATGAATGTAAAAATTGGTTTAATTAATTGAATTTCCTAGTGGGAAAATTGGTAACCATGTGTGAGTGCTAATCTCTAAAAGGATTGGGCCTGATATGCTTTAAGCTTTCTCTTTAACTGTTTTTAAATTTAAGTTGCACAAGCAGGGACACTTGGGTATCTTTTTTTTTTTCCCTCTGTACTTTATCTTGGAGTCTTTTGACTCAGTAGAAAAGACTAACAATCCCATTTTGAGTGACTCCGAGAGAAGACTCAGAGTTCAGGACTGAAGAATCCATCTCTGAATAACCAACCATTTCAAGATGATTTTACCTGTATTTATCCTGAGAAATAATTAATGACTCAATTTCATATTATAGAACTTCACAGAATACTGTTTTTCAGTTTCCTGTCATTTCACGGTCTTGTTGGGTGAGTTAGGCCTGTTGTAGAACTTGGTACTGAGAAATCTTGCTTTAGATAAAGAAAAACCAGCAGTTTTATTCATAAATTAGTCTTCTATTTAGGTCAGGTCCCATCATTGTTGCCATCTTTTCCATCTCGGTGTTTTACTTCGTCCTCTTCCCAGTGGCCTAGGGGAATGTCTTCTGAGAAAGCATGGTGGTGTGGGGTGGGGAGATGGGGACTGAGGGACTTGTCTTCACAGCAGCAGAGCCCTAGGGCTCCTTTTCCTGGCTTTGCCTTCTGTGAATACTAGAGTTGACCTAGCTTCTCGGCACTAACAACCGCTGTCAAGTCAGTGGGGCTTCATTCTGCCAGGGTCTTGTTCTTCTGCCCATGGGAGCTGAGTGAGTAACTGGATTACCTGGGAGATGAGTGTCAAGCTGTGTGGTGGACCCTGGCCACGGGTGATGAAGCATCTGGAGCACGGGATGGAGGTGGCTGCCCTTTTCAGCCCCGTTTTTCAGAACGTAGCTTCAGTGAGCTCCTTACTGTTGCCAGAGGCTTTCTGTTGAAAGGTGCTACCAAGAGGGGTCCTAACTGGGGCAACCGGTTGAAGCATAACACTGTAAGCAAGCACAGCCGCTTCAGTGCCAGTTTGATCCCTGCGGGCAGGTGACCCACATGGCGCGGCAGACCTCTCATGGTCCACCCGCTGCTCCCCTCAGCAGTGTACTTCGTCTATCTGCCTGAACTGCTCCCCCCTCTGTCTCTGGTGAATCCTCTCACCTCCCCTACACTTCTGGCTTGTATCCCAGTTCTGTCTGCATACATAAATAAATCTTTAAAAAAAATTTATATAAAAGTTTATTTTTACATCATTTTGTGCATTTTTTTCATCTTGAAATCTTTAAAAGTTTTTTAAAAAAGAAAGGTGCCACCAAGAGCATTTTATCTTTTTTTTAAATTTAATTTATTCATTTTTGTGTAAAAGAACTGGAGTGCAGGCCAGGAGCGGGGAGATGAAAGGATTCATCAGAGACAGAGTGGGTAGCAGAAAAGGGGATCCACTGAAATCCACTGATGAGAGGAGCAGTGGGTGAGATAGGAGAGGTCTGCTGTGCCACGTGGGTCAGCTCCCTGGCCAGGAATCAAACTCAGGCCATCCATGTGATAGAGCTGAGACTTAACCCCCAGGCAGACCCACAAGCTACATTTCGTATAATTGTTTGATGTCTTAATGGCAGCCAAGAGTCTGAGCTTGACTCCCTTTGTCATTCTGAGAAAGAAGTTTTCTCCCTGCAAAATTTGCCCCAATCAACTGTCCTGGTTGTCATCAACTGGAACTTCTTCACTGAAAGCAAGAGCTATTGAAGGAGCCTAAAGGACTCTGTACCTGGAAATGAAGTGACAGGACTAAGCAGTGTTAATAGCTTCAAATATTTTTCAGGAAAGTACATGGACTTTAAAGAGCTGAACTTGCAAATGAAATCCTTGCCTAGTAGCATCAGCCTACCTCCTGAATGTGTTTGGTTTTCTGGCCTCTCAGTGCCCTGGGAGGAAAGAGGAGGAGCTAAGTCAAGGGTCACTGGTTGGAATCCCTAGTTAAGTATGACTGATGAAAAGTGTTCTGAGTGAGGTTTTATCAGCCATGTGCATTTTTTCAGGAGCAGTAAATAATCTGCTAGATGAAATGGAGCTTTGAATAGTATTCATAAACCTGTGCATACTCTATGGTGGAAAAGAGGAAATGAATGACAGGTGTCAGGTTTTATATATCAGCAAAAGAATACATCTTCCTAAATGGGTGCAGGAAATAAGGAAGTGGCAGCAAAATTAGGTATTTTTGTATTGACACTGAATGCTAAGGAGAATAAATCACATCACCTGATTGAATCATTCCACCAAATGACTACAAAATGTGATACATCTATAGTGTTAAAAAATTTAAATATGTTAAATAATTAAAAAGCAGTTTGGTTCTTAAACAACAGCAAAATTAGCATAAGCATCTCCACAACTCTAGGGATACAAATGGAGTTTTTCCTTAGAGTAAATGAAAGTATTTCTATGCAAATTCATTTGGAAACAGAGATAATTTTAAATTGCATTAGTTCTGTGTGCTGCCATTATTTATATTCAGTCCAAAAGGCTTTTTAAGTTATAAATTAAAGACTCATTTATTTTGGCATTGTTGGTTTTTAAAATTGTTTGCTAGTAATGAGGGGTATCTTTTGTGGATTTGGGGGCAAACGTCAGTGGCTGTTACAGCTTTCTATGTATCTGCTGGTGATTAACGTTATACAATGATGTCTAGTATAAAGTGGAAAGGTCCAGAAAAAAGTCATGTAAAGTGATGCAAAGGTTAGAAGATAAACACTGAAAGGATGAGATTTTCAAGAGAGCTTTGTCTTAGGTTTCTCTAATGCTTGATGAACTTTCAGGAGACTTCTTTGTTTACTGTGATCACCTCCAGTCTTGATATTCTTATGCTGCTTGAGGTGGATGGTTGTGCCATATAGATGATACTGATTTTGCATTTGTAGACTCATTTGTAGAATCATTATCAAGCTGTTCAATTCAGGAACTTCTTTCAACCAAGAACAGACTGTCATTGTGACATTCACAGTGATCATGATGTAATTCTCATTCTCTATAAAACATCAGCACACCTATTAAAAGTAGAAAATCAATATTTATAAATTGGAAAATGACATGAAATATGTCTTTCTCTTGCACACAGGAAGAGTTTAATGGAAAACCTGACTCCCTCTTTTTCAATGACGGCCAGCGAAGGATAGACTTTGTTCTAGTGTATGAAGATGAAAGTAAAAAAGAGACCAATAAAAAGGGTACAAATGAAAAACAAAGGGTAAGTTTTTAATGTTTTTTTCTTTCTTATTTCGTATGTCACAAATTGAAAAGAACGTCCTGTTTTAATGTTAGCAATAAAGTGTTTGAAATATCACATGCCAAACAGACCTTCCTGTTTTTCAGCTCATCGTCATTCCCTCAAGGCATGTCAACAGCAACTCCCCCCAAAAAATCTTTTTTTAATTTGAAATACAAAGTTCCTCAGGCTCTGAACCTAGTTGGTTTCATAGCTGAAGGCAGACTTGCTTTTTTCATCTGTACAAGTTGGAATTATACCTTGTATCTTGTAGAAGAGATAAACAATAACAGCGCACTTAACTATTTACAAGTAGGTGGGAAAGGAAGCTAATGATTAATAAAGACAACAGGTGTAATCACAAGTATCAGTGTGCCCTCACTCTGTACCTGCTTAATTTGTCATTAATTCTCATAATTTGGAAGGTGTGCTTTATTACAATACCATCATGGATAACACAGTTGACTCAACTTTGATAGGTAAAATGATTACCCAGATCACAGCTCCAGTCTAAGAAGTGGTGGGTCCATGGCTCAGACTCTTGGCTTGAATATTGATCTGTGTTCTTGATGTCTCCCATTCTTTCACCTCCCACCTTTTCCTTTTTTCCAATGCCAGTCAGACTGCTTCTCCCTCTCTTTCCTATACTTTAAATTTTTTCAGGCTAGAGGGCTACCTTTCTTGGAGGAATTAGGATATTTAATAGCCTAGGATTATAGCACTCCCTGGAACCTGAAGTGCAGTAAAGACAGTAGAGAGAGAGAGAGATAAGAGAACATAGACATATGTCACTTTTACATGTTTTGAAAATCCTTCCCTCATTCTTTATAGTAAGTCTTCACTTAATGTCATGGATGGATTCTACAAAACTGACTCTCTCAGCAACACTGTCTAAAGAAACCAGTTTACCAAAGGATAATTGATGTAAACTAGAATTAAGTCCCTATGACATTTCTGACCACAAAAACATCACCACACTTATAAATAAAGACCCAGAACATTTCTTGAATTCCACAGTCCTTTATATTCATTTGTTGTCTACCCCATTTACTCCAGCTTAGCAGCCCTTAGGTCCACTCAGCACCTCAGGGACCAAGGCTCCTAGGAGCCAGCCCTGCACAGGACCCAGTTCCCTGACAAGAACCTTCACACATGTACCCACACTCAGAGTGGAACAGTCAGACATGCTAATTAACTCAACATGCAAATCTTTGGGGTGTGGGAAGAACTCTTGCACTGGTAGAAACCCCACCTGGTGTGGGATGAACATGCCAACTCCATACAGACCTCAGTTCCAGGTGAGAATCAATTTTTTTTCCCACCAACACAGAAACAAATTTGAACAAAGCAATGTTCTTCAAGGGCTTGCTTTATGTATTTTCTTTGTTTACCTCTGTCTTGAAATATATCTCTTTGAAATATGTCAGTCTTAAATCTATTGATTTCTATTTATTTTTTTTCAAACTGAATTGTGAATGCTGCTTAAAATAAAGCAATAAATCCTGTTTAATTTATTTTTGATTTGTCTGTTTAATGAAGGGTAATGTTTTCCTGGCTCATTGGCTGAGTCCATATTTTAGAATATCATATTCAAGTTCTAATCTTGCTGCTGTATTTTTGGGGGGTAATTCTAGCCCCAAAATAAAGTAGTTGTGAATTCTAATGGCCTTTATGAGCCAAGTGTGGCGCCTCTATTTGGAACAGTGATTTGAAGGTTGAACAAGGCTTTTTGTTCGCTGTGGTCATTCATCCTGACTAACAGGTTCTGCTGTGTTCAACTGATACTTGTAGGCTGTCCTGGATATCAGCCTCAATTATAGGCAGGGCATGAGATTGGGTAGGAAAGTACTATTACTCTTTACTTCTCACAGTTAGAAGTGACAAGTCATTGTTTCCATACTCTACTGGCCAAAAGTTGGGACTATGGAGAAGGTGACTTCTGGTTGACCAGCTGTTTCTTAGTAATAACTCTGTCCTGTGGAAAGTAACATGTCTCATCGTAGCTTGTCCTTGTCATAACTAACTGTGTGACTTGAGTTTATTTCCTTATCAGTATTGAATTTTATTATTTGTAAGATGCATATTATTTTTACATTTTGACATCTGTGAAATCAGGGTACAGTCTACCAATCAGATATCATAATGTCATCAACTTTTTTCTTACTGGTACATCAAATACTGCCTCACCATTTAGTCATTGGCATCTTAAATTCAGGAAAATGAGGTTCCCAATAATATGTCCATATAATTATGGTTAGGATGGAATAAAGTAGTGTGTGTGTGTGTGTGTGTGTGTGTGTGTGTGTGTGTGTAAAATATACACAGAAATTTTCAGTATATATTAGGAAATAATGTTCATTCCTGTTGCCTCCCTTTTAATTGGGGGTATTCCTAATGGAATGCACTGGGGTGAAAAGACATGAATCTCTTCTTTTACATAAATTTATGCCTAAATTAAATAGCTTAGAATATTTTACCATTCTCCTGTGGACACCAAGATATATTCTGTACCAGTATAGTTTCCACCATCAAATATTCATTGAGCGTCCATATGTCAATAGAGCTCAACTGCGCTCTATGTAAAGTAAGTTCAACAAATCTCATCTAGTGAAGTAAAAAGGAAACAGTTCTGGTTTTAGATAAGAGATTACTGTCAAGGTGAAGGGGCCCTGGAGCTGCTTATATCATTAATAAAGTCTGCATTTTCTTTCACAGGAACAAAGGTCCCAGGGTAATGCTCATAAATCATAAAACAAGTATCATTAACTTTCACAATCCCAGACTCAGGGGTTGATGTGTTATTACGTTGGGTTTTGTTTATTTTTTTGTTTTGCATGGAAGAACTGGTTGTGCAGGCCAGAGGGATAGGGGGTGAGAGGATTCACCAGTGGGGACTAGAACATGATCTACTGCTCAGAGCAGCAACAGGAAAGATAGGAGAGGTCTGCTGTGCCATGTGGGTCAGCTCCCTGAAGGGGGATCCATCTCAGGCCATTGCTGTGATAGTGTTAAGATTTAACCACGAAGCCAACAAGGAAGCCCTTAACTCATTTTTTAAAAAGATTTTCTGGGGTGCAGGCCAGAGGTGTGGGGGTGAAAAGATTCACTATAAACAAAGTGGGGAGCATGACTGGCAGATTGACTGAAATCCACTGCTGAGGGGAGCAGTGGGTGAGACAGGAGAGGCCTGCTGCACTATGTGGGTCAGCAGCCTGGTCGGGGATCAAACTCAGGCCCCAGTCTTGATATTGCTGAGACTCAACTCCTGGGCCACCAGGGATGCCCTGTTATATTGGGTAGTATAAATAGTGTTTTGGGGAGACCTCGAGTCTCTATTCGTATTAATTTAAAGACTCCACCAGAATTCAAAATTCAAATTTGGCATTACATTTTTATTAGTGGAAAAACATGGGCAGGTTCCATCATATTCCCCATCAGACCTTATTCAGGATGGAGTATAACACCATGGAAAGGCAACTTCAAAATTATGTTTCCCTTGAGGGCAAAAAAATGATGTCTAGATCATACTGATTTCCTATAGAAACAGCCCAGTTGTCTGTGCTAGGGGCTGATCTGAGGAGTGTTGTGAAGGGGAACTGGGCAATGAAAAAAGGACATAGAGGACTCAATGACCACTTCTTCTCATGAGCCAAAGAGAAAATATGTTTCTAGCCCAACCTCCAAATAGCATATAACTTTGTCTCATTGTATTAGTGATAATAGTCAGAGGCTTCACAGGGCAGGACATGATGGGAAAAGTGATTTACTTCCAGATACCATATCCGGGTGATGATAAGTTGTTTCAATAATATGTGCTCATCTAATCCAAATAGACCTTGTTACAGAATAGTTTGGCTTTTAACTGCAAATAACAGGAAACCTAAACTCAAAATGACTTAAATGCTATCAAAGGAAATAACAGTTTTCTCATTTAAGAGGTAGCCTGGAGATAAGGCCATCCTGGGTTAGATAATTTATTGGCTTGATGAGGTCATTGAGAGTGGATGTTTCTCCCATCCTGCTTGCCAGCCTCAAAAGGTTAGCTCTTTCTTTTTTGTTTTGTATTTTTTTTTTTTTTGCATAGAAGAACTGGGGTGTAGGCCACAAGTGAGTGGTGGGAGGATGCACCAGAGACAGAGTGGGGAGCAGAACAGGCAGATCCACTGAAATCCACTGCTGAGGGGAGCAGCAGATGAGACAGGAGAGGTCTGCTACCCTATGTGAGTCAGATCCCTCCTGGGGAATCAAACTCAGGCCATAGGGGTGATAACACTGAGACTTAAATCCTAGGCCAATAGGGAGGCCACATTGTCTGTTCTTTAAAGAGGCTTGATTTTGTTACAAGGTACCTGCTACATATCCGGGCATTTAGAGGCAAAAAGAGGGTTTGCTTTTCTTACGACCTTTTTTTATGGGGAGAGGAATCTCTCCTAGAGGGGCCATCATCAGACTTTTCTGTACAATTCATTCATCCGCAACAAGGTGAATGAGGTCCCCTCCCCTGGAGCAGATCAGTGAAGACTAGCCTTTCCTCTCCTGGGTTATCTGATGTCCCAGTACATAAAATCATCAGGTGTTTTTTTATGTAATGAGGGAGAGAGTGATTGCATAGTAGACAGGCAGTGGTATCTGACATAGTACAGGGTTAAGTATATCGGAATATGTTTTTCTGTATGTTGAGGAGCAGAGATTTTAACTAAAACCTTATATTTTTCTGCCTCCTTCTGCTCAGTTCATTGAGTAATGCTTCTTCTGTCTCCTTTTCGCAAGAACTGCTAACACATGCCAGAATTTATCTATTTTGAATTTTGTTTTGTTTGGTACTTGGTCTCCCTTCAAACAGATGAGTTTATGACTAAATCATGGGTCATTGTAGTGATGGTAAAGATGTTGAAAGGGTCAAAGCAGTGGGTGAGCACCAAAAAACAGCAAAAACAATACTGTGTGTGTTTATGAATTAATTTGTCAGCAAAAGCCATTTC